AATAAAGTGGAACCCCGACTTACGAAATTAATTTGTTCCCGAGGGTCTTTCGTAAGTCAAAACTTTTCGTAAGTCGAAGCACCCAGTGAGTGAGGTGATGTTGAATGATAAGCTATAGGCTAATTGCTAACAACAATGGGTCGTTCAAGGGGTTGTCACATGATCCGGAAGGCATTGTAGGCTCAGCCAATCAGAGCCAGTGGATTTCGTTACACAGGCATTTTGCCGTAACACGGGCAGAAATATTGCCATTCAGTGCCTTCGTAACTTGAATTTTTCGTTAAATGGGGTATTCGTAAGTCGGGGTTCGACTGTATCTTTTACAAATTACGCCCTCTGCTTCACTTCAGCAGCATCAGGTAATGTTCATATGTTGATTCTGGGTTTTCTTCCGTTTTTGTTCTACTGCAGAATATTTTTAAGGAGGTAATTTGCTATTCTGTGTTTTATCCTCAGTGACATTGATACAAAGGTATGCTGCTGTGATGGTTACACCTCTGATGAAGTCTCACAAGAGTCAGCTTTGTTTTTCTACACAGATATAAAAATATGGATATGCACTGAGAAATGACCAGAAGCATAATAGTTCTGACAGAGTCTAAATTGAATTGAGTCGAATCAAATCAATTCAGGACTTTTGAATCAGAATTTAATCAGTTATTACAATCAGTGACGATACCCAGCCCTTTTAACAGCTAATGTTACAGTTTTCACTCTGTTTGTAAGTCACTCTGCTGACAGTGGACAGAAACTGAATTTCTGATTGTTTAAAGCAGCTAGATTAATAAACCCAGTGTTGACTTACTGATCTAATAAACACCTTCATGTGAAACCAAATGAAGAAAAGATAATCTGGATATGTTGAACTTGTTTTGTAGTACAGGCTACAAAAGGAAGAAGATTAATTTCTTCTACAAACTCACCCACTGTCAGCTTGATGATTTTGATGGGCGTAGTCTTTAAAATGGCTGCCTTAGAGTTGTTTGTTCCTACCTGGGTGACATGACACTCGTACGTTCCATCATCATCAAATGTCGTGCCATACAGAAACAATGTTAATTTCCCTTTTTGCATGTCTGTATACATGAGACGTACACGGTTCGCAAGACGTGGTGGCTGAGTGCTTGGATCAGATGCATTGCTCTGGTAAAAAAGTTCATTTCCTAGATACGCGACAGATCTGGTCCACATCACAGCTCCAATGGATTCCTTATTTGGAACCTCGCATGGCAGAATGGCAATTTCTCCAGGTGCAACGTAGACTTTCAGTGGTTCTGAAACGGAGAGGAAACAACACAAAACAGAGCTAATATGATACCAAACAAACCATAATACACTGCATGCTAAATATTTAAAAATTACTGAGAATCACATGAGGAGAATAATTTAGATTCCCCAACACAAATAGAAATCAACTATAAATTTAAACCTGTCACAGTCTAAGGATCGTCTATTAGATCAAGTAACACTG